TCTGACCATTACACTACATTGTAGACCAATATCATTACTCAACTCTGATCATGTACCACACATTATAGACTTATCATTTGCATTTATTTATCAGGCCTTTTTTATCAAAAGCAACTTACATTTGCATCTGTTTATACAGCTCGGCATTTCGCTGGTGCTATTCCAGTATACTAAGTACTTCAGGGGTATAACAGCAGTGCCTCATGTGGGAATTTACCTTCCTGTTATAAGTCCAGATGGCTAACCACAGAACCATGCTGCTGTGTCTTACAAACATGGCTAGTGTATATTCCTAAGTGCATTGAAGCACAGAACAGACCACTATCATTACAAAGCTACCAAATTACAAGAAGAGTGCAATTATTTTGTATTGAGTTCATCCTTGATATTCTGAACCACTTCTCCTTGCAGCTCATTTTTCTACCTGAATCCTCTGCTGGATGCTGTGTGGAATGAGCACATGTGGCAGGAAAGCCCTGACGTTGCTGAGCAGCGTGTTTGCTGTGTGTGGTCTGGGGCTGCTGGGCATTGCAGTCAGCACCGACTACTGGCTCTACCTGGAGGAGGGAATCATCCTGCCCCAGAACCAGAGCACAGAGATCAAGATGTCCCTTCACTCGGGATTGTGGAGGGTCTGCTTCCTGGCTGGTGAGTCCATGTCTCCCTTAATAGCTGCTAATGAAATGTGCGTGAAATGTATTGTTAACAGTTTGCAATGGCTGCCTCTTCATTTCTTTAGGCTAGTGCTAGACACATAGTTTACATTACTAAAACTGTCAGCATTTGTTCTGCTGTTTTGCATGTTTACTGAAAGATAAAGCTGACAGCAGGCTTACTTGATAATTATTTGCATGGTAAACTGTGCCACCATCCGTGTTAGTGTTTGTATCGATAAGTAAAAGTATTAACATTTTGTGGGTTGCCAATTGTCTTACCTGAATTCTAAGATACCATAGCGTGTTTTTCTTTACTCCCTGGCGGAAACGGGCTTCCATACTTGCCTGTCTTCATTAGTTCTTAGTATGAAATATACCGGTGTGTCTCTGTTCTGCTGTCCTACTTAACAGTTTTAAAAGCAGATGAGGCAGCAATGGAAGGAAAAATTCTAAACAACTGTGACCATTCCTTCAGTCCTCAGAAACGTGTTTTGACTCATTCATAGATTTGGATGCCATTCTTTACATGCTTATCCAGGAGTAGAACTGGTTGGGAATGTTCTACTAATCTTGAGCACTAGTTATAGATTAGTATATAGTCATGGCAATATGTTCTGGTACTGTATGGACACTGATGATCTGTGAATGCTTGTCACCTGGGTCCCTCACCACTCTTCTGAACTTCCCTTTCACCTTTCACCTTTCCCTGGGCTGTTTGCTATTCAACATGTTTCCTCCACAGGAAACATGACTTTAGATTTTGGTCTCAAAATTCAATTAAACCCCAAAACCTGCTTACTGTTTGTCTGATAGATAGTTGTGTTTCCTCAGCTGGGAATCCTTAGAAGCCAAGTGCAGTCTACTTGGGATGACACCCCAAAAACCCAAGAAGCAACATTCATTATTAGAGTTAAGGGGCATTTGTGCTTTATTCCCTCCTTCCCCTCTCTTAGGTTACGCTGGCAATCAGCATAGGCACCTGTCTCAAGCTAATGGTCTCTTTAAAAAACCACATGGGACTCTTTACCTTTAGCAGGGACGTACAATAAGTCTGATTAGTAGCATGGTAGCCTTTTCTAAATGCAGCCAAAGACACTAATTTTAATCATTTCCTCTGTAGAAACGCCGGCTACAGACCGAGTCTCCCCCTCCGTTAAACCAGGTATTGACAATGTCTGGCTGGAAGGCTGAGAGGTTTCTGGACTGCAGGCTGCAGTTTGTGATCACGGGGTCTTGTTAAATCCAAACTGGGACAGATCCACAGGTTGACTCGCTTTTGTAGTTATATTGACTCACCCCAGAAATCTGAAACGGCATACGTGTGTGACCCCTGCTAAAATGCATCCTATGCTATGCACAATCTGAAACAACTCCTATAAAAGCACAAGCTAAGGATGAGTGTTCTTTCAGTGTTCCTGGCCCTTTGAGGTGTTACACATGGTCAACCCAAGAATTGCATTAAAAACTGAAAATTACCATTTTTTGGTAAAGATCAGAACCTCAATTTCCATTACAGGGTTGTGGGTTCATGTCAAAGCTCGTGCTTCACTAAATAGTAAGGTTTCTAGAAAATCTCATAGGAACAACAAAGTTTCCTACCTTGAATTTATCTCTAGCTTAATTTGAGCTACAGTATTTCTATCTTGAACCTGTGCCAGGGTTTGTGCTGAGACTCCTTCTCGGAGCCCTGATCTTATTGATTAACCTCTTATTGATTATTGCACTATGTATACATAATGTATTAAAGAGGGAGGTGAGAGAAGCCGTGAGAAGCCTCTTCTGGCCCGCTGCTGTCCGATCTGTCTCTGTTTGCATTGTTAACGAGGTGTCCAGTGACTGAATGATTGAAAGCAGTGCTCTCCCCAAGTGCTGATACTCTGCTGTGTTTTCATTCTGGTGTAGAATGTTAAGAAACTGCTGTGTTTTTGGACGGAACTACAGTATAAATACAGTACATGTTTATCATTAATATGTGAGTTGTGGTAGGCGTATGAGAGAATAGAACACATGAAGTCTGATAAAATCTTTAACCTCATATCCTATGAGGAGGACAGTTTAGGCCTTTATAATTTACTGGATCAAGACTGCCACTATTAAGCTGTTTTCAATTGTTTACAATTCTCACTTCTTTTCTGTTGTGAAACTTGATGCTGATTTTTCCTCATTACACTTCATAAATAATTAATTTATTTTTTCATCCATGTTTGCCCCAGAGGAAAAGCCCAAGTTCAACTTGTTTTCTTTATCCTTTCATTTCAAAGGCATGACTTGGATTTTGTATTGTTACTGTAGCAATAGTAGTTAGGGAACAGAGTTTCAATCAATTTTAGAAGCACTGTCTAATTGAAACGTCAGCTATCTATAAATGTAACCTAAGAGGAGACTTACAGCAAAACAGTGCAATGATGTTTCCCTAAAATCTCCAGAAAATGTGAGAACTATATTTTCTACTGCTAACTTTAAGATGCAGACTAGACTTTCAGATTATCAGGAAATGTCTTTGCTTTTCTTCAGGCTTCTTGAAACATATGCAGTGATCAACTAATAGGGCAACTAGACATAAAGCAAAAGTTAAAATCCTCACTCAACTGTTTTAAAGGCATCATGCTTCAGTATAAATAGACATCCTGCAATGCTATAATCTCAGCTCAGATGATGAGCATCCTAAGCCCCTCAGGGCTTGCAGTTTGAGATTGCTAAAATCACCATGGAGAAGAGGCTGAGATCTTTATCCAATAATACAGTATGGTGTCAGAGTCTCCACAGCACCAGCATGGTTCACTGATGTGAAAAGAAAGTCTTTCTCCTCGGTGAATATTAAAGCGAACACTGCGCTACTCCTCATCATTATGAAATCAAGAATGCTGTTGTGAAAAACATCTGTCCTTCCATTTTCTTACCCCTTCACCCAATTCAGGGTCATAGGACATCCAGCATGGATAAGGTGTAATACACCCTGGATGGGTTGCTAGTCCATCACAGGGCACACACACACACACACACACACACACACACACACACACACACACACACACACCAAGGACAGTTGTCCCTGAAGCCAATTCATTTTCCAGAATGTCTTTGGACTATGGGAGGAAACCTGAGCACATGCAGGAAACCCACACAAACGCAGGTAACACACACACAAACTCCACACAGCGAGTACCCCAGGAATAGAACCCAAGGCCCCAGAACTGTGAGGCTGCAAAGCTAACCACTGCATCTCCGTTCTGCCTTTTTCCCAATGTAAAACAAATACAACCAAAATATGCATCAAGCCCATGTCGGTGCAGGATATTGTCCTGCGGCTCAGTTTTATTCTACTTACTTTGCACTGTCCTGAGACATTCGGGTTGCATCTAAAACTTAATGATTAACTTAATTAATGATATACAGTCTTGAAATGCTGCACACCCAATGACATTAAAAAATGGACACATATTCATAAGAGATGTGCAGTGATTGCTAACCTAGTGGGGGTCACAAATGGAAATTTAAGGCCTAAAAAGGTGAAAAGTAGAGAAGAAGCATTGAAGATAAAATTAGGAGTCATTTCTTGATGCAAAGTTTAGCCGAGGTCTAGAATTCACTATAGTTCTATAGTATTCACTACACCAAGTTGTTGAATTAGATTCTCCTCCAAGAAGCAGCTCTACAAGTTTCTGGGATCCGTTTAGATATTAACAATTAACTTAATTAAGCAACATGGGCCTACCTCTATTTGTGGAACTTCTTATGATCCTGTGTTTTAATAGAAATTAGACAAGTTTAAGAAAGAAAATTGAAGTGTGAAGTCACTGAGCTTCAATACAAAAGATCTCAGACCTCAGCCCAGTGAAGCAAGGCCTAGTAGCTTCAGTCAGGGGAAGCCTGACTGCTTCATTTGGATTCGTGCTCCAAGCGTCTCACTTCACTGCACAGGAGTAACGAGGCCTAAATTAACTCTGCAGAGCAAAGACTTGACACACAATGAAAGCGGGGGGAAAGAAACGGGCCCAGAACTTGAAGGACGCTCGCTGAGAGAGAGGTCAGCTTGACGGAGATGCAGCGCACAGTGCAAGACTTGGAGCTCATTATGGTTGCAGCTGGAAACACAGCCATGTCATGACAAGCAGACTCTGGGCCTCACTGGAGCTGAGCAGATCTTGTGGAAGCAATTTATTTAGATAACCCTCCCCCGTCTGTTGCACTGCGCTACCATCTCACAACTTAATCATCGCCTTGCAAGGTGTTATGTGGGCAACGTGCTACAAGCTGTTGTCATACTTCACCTAACTTTTGATGTGACCAGCAAAATGCTGATTGCTAGCTGGCACATGGAGAATTGCTCTTGTTAAAAACCACAGAAAAGGATATTACCGCGATAGCACCATACTGTATGACTCTGACGTTTAAATATGCTACAATCCAAGCACCGCTGTCATGTTCAATATAAGGCATTTTGTTGTGAAGCTTAAGATCAAGATCTCGAGGGTCATGCTTGGGGAGATGAAATGATCTGTGTGTAGTGGCTGGAATAAAGAAAATAACACCCTTCTGTTTATTGCGTAATCTAAAATAGAGTGGCAGTGAACAGTGTGGGAAAGCATGACTACAGAACAGAAGCATGTAAAGTCACAGTAACTGTGTTAAACTGGCATGCATGTAGGTTTTAGTATATTCAGGTGCAACATTAGTTTATTCATTGTAATTCTTGGGGGGTGTCAAGGGCAAAGGATTTGATTCATGAAAGTGTTTCTGACAGTGCATTTTATTTGTTCAATTGATGTTACTCATATGTTCTGTATTTTCAAAATCTAAAAGTTGAGATTTTTTTTGTATATTTGGTCAGTTGAAAACAATATCACTTCACTGTCGCTTTATGAGCTTCCTCTTAACACTAAAAACACTCATGCAAGCAACTCTGGCTTTCTTGCTCTGACTTGGGCTGTTCCTGTTGTGGCACGTAGGTTCTACATGTGTCTAAGCTGCCTGTCACCTGTGCTGAAACGATTTCTGCTTTGTGTTGCCTGTCTCTCAGGGGAGGAAAGGGGACGGTGCTTCACGATAGAATATATCATGCCAATGAATGTACAGATGACATCTGAGTCTACAGTCAGTGTGCTAAGTGAGTGATGATTTATTCTTACTGTATATGTTTGCTTATGCATTTGAAGCTTTCATGAAACACTTTCAGTGAAACCTCCCTAATAAAACGCTGGTGTTTTTACAAAACAATCTGTTCAAATTTATTTAATTCTGCTATAAGCTGCTGTAATGCAGCTGCTGTAATGCAAACTAACACATTTTACAATGTTCCTCCACACTGTGCTTTGAAACAGTGCCCTCCTGTGGTGAAGGTGCAGTAGGTCAGCGTTGAGACCAACAAACAGTAATGTGCAACACTAGCAAAGATCCATCCCTTTCTCACCCTCTGAAGTTTTAATTGGAAACATTTCCCCTGAATAGTTATTGATTCAAATATGTTAAGCTGCTTTGTGAAATTACCCTAAACTCAAGCAACACTGCAGGGTAGATTCATTGTGGATTTTAGCATCCATTGCAGTAAACTGATCATGATTTATTGACATGGGGTTATTGTCATCAATGATCATGTTTTATCGATATCCGTTCAGATCTCTGTAATGTTTTTATTTCTGGGCAGTGCGATTTTAATTAGGCAGATATCGGTCTAAATGAAGACATCAAAGGTGGAACTGTGTGAGAGATAAGAAAATTCTAATTGATTCTCTTTGAGACAGATTCCTGTACAGAAATGTCAGTTCAGCCGGCTTCAAAATGGCATGAAGCTCAAAAGGCCTCACTGTGTCTCCTGTAACTTATCTCTTAATTACGCTTTATCTGTTCTGGCTTGAAGCACGTTGAGATCGCATGTCTGCAATAACCTACCAGTGTAAACAAGGTCCTGCTCCTGCTCCTCTTTCCTGTCCTCAGGAATGAAACATTTGTCCAATTTTCATGGAGGAACATATGCATGTTTTTTCAGTACGATAAGTTTTTCATCCGTCTCATTGCGATAGCTTTATCCGAGAGCTGCAATCTGAACCAGGTCTTGCTCTTCGGAACCAGGAGGATGATCTCCTTCAGATGTATCCTTTACCAACACCTCTCCTAGGAGTTTCCTCTAGCTCTAGATCCAGAACCTGACATGCGCTCACTTCTTCCCACTGCTGTTCCAAGGGCTTATCACAAGCATGCTGACTTCCTGTTTAATGGGAGAAGTCCCTCTTGGGAGGGTAGGCTGGCGTCGGGAGGTTGGGGTTGTGCTCCTCCACTCTGGGATCACGCCAGACAGAAATTCCTGTAACTGCCCACCCATGGGGGTGGAGGGGGACAGCATGTGCCTGGAGAGAAAACCAGTCTGGGTACCAGAGGGGGCATTTTTTAACACAGCTTTCCCGTGGTTTCTTATCGTGTTCCTGCAAAAAAAGCTGAAACACACAGAAGGCTGTTTGCTGCTTGAAGACACCCGAGATCACTCACCTATGATCTGAACCTCACAGTGCCTTCTTCCTTTCTTTCTTACCAAAAAACAAAACACACATTGAAAATCTACCTCTACCATGCATGTCAAAAGCTCACTCCCTATAATTTCTATCCCTTTATTTTTATTCTGTTGATGCATTTTTGCACATAACCTGTTACCTTTTTGTTGTTTTGCACATTGCCTGTTGTTGTTTTTTTTTGCACATCGTCTGTTTTTGTTTTTTGCACACTGCCTGTTGTCTCTGTCTTTCTTTTGCTACACAATTGTATTGTTGTTGTTGTTGGTTTTTTTTTCTCTTTGTACTACTTATGTCCGAGAGCTAGCTAAATAGCATTTCGTTACACCATATACCATGTATATGAGTGTAATGACAATAAACTTGAAACTTGAACTTGAACTTGAGTCTTTCGAGTGCCATCTCTCTGGATTGCCTCTTAAACGACACCACGTTGCAGACTTCGTTTTATCCCTCAGACCGAAGGCACTGAAACAGCCACACCACGAGCTGGAGCACCGCTGCTCCAGGGCCGTTCACACCCTGCGGGCAGCTGTGTAGAGACAGAGCTACTGAAAAAGATGGCCGACACTGCTGTGGTGGAGAGTAATACATTTCTCCACAGGTGCCTGGTAAACAATTTGGGAACCTTGTCTGCAGTTGCATGGGGTCACGAGTGGAGCTACACTATTACTCTTCGATCTTCAACTCCGTTTCCTGTAATTAAATACACACAAATACCCTGGCACCTTAAAATGTAAACTACTTTGTATGCACCTACTTTTTATATATCAGAATTTATGTATTTATTTACCTTTGTGTAATACTTTAGTGTGGGTGTCAAATGTATTATTTCTTCTACTGTGTATTTTTTCTTTACAATATTTTAGATGTGAACTTGATTTAAATGAGAAATGGACTTGATATGCTCAGCAGATGCCATTGTCCAGAGAGACGCTGAGTGCCTGGGCTGTGGCCGTGGGCATGTCAGCGGGCACCTGGTGCTGCTGCACACGCCGCAGTGGACTCCAGGGGAGCCAGCCTGTGACTCCTCGCCACGCTGACCCTGTGTCCTCTCTCCTCCAGAGATGATCCGCTCGGCCACCCCCTTCCCACTGGTCAGCCTGTTCTTCATGTTCATCGGCTTCGTCCTCAACAACATCGGCCACATCCGCCCCCACCGGACGATCCTGGCCTTCGTCTCCGGCATCTTCTTCATCCTGTCTGGTGAGCCTCTGCCGGCTTCTACCTGTAATCCTCCCATTATTGGCAAATTACTATTCCGACATTTAGATTGATTTCCGTCTTCATCCGCATTTTAATTGGTCCCGAAGATTGATACCGAGATGTGAACAAATATCTCGCTAATCATTTACTGACCCAAATATTTTATTTTAATCATGAATTGGCAACAGTTATAAAACCAACTGCTTGGCATATAAAATGTATATATATAGTTTTTACGCCAATATATATAGAGGAATCCTACTCCATTGGGCCCCTGAGCAAGGCCCTTCACCCCAACTGCTCCAGGGGCGCCGTATAAATGGCTGACCCTGCGCTCTGACCCCCAGCTTCTCTCCCTGTCGGTGTGTCTCATGGGGAGCAAGCTGGGGTCTGAGAAAAGAGGAATTCCTAATACAAGAAATTGTATATGGCCAATAAAGTGATCTTATCTTATACATATTTCCTTTCCAGAAAATGTGTCGTCTTGCTGTGCATAGCTAAAACAGCTCCATGCTTAAACTTCCTGCATGTTGTACTGTGCATCTGACTGTGTAGTTTGTGGAGCCCTTTAATAGGGATTAGCACACTTACAGAGAGCAAGCCTGTTAACCTCTTCTTTTGCGGGCGGGTTTAACCTGGCCTCCTAGAGAATCACCACATCGCTGTGTGCTCAATGGTAGGATTAATGAGCACATTTCACTTAGACTCAGGCTCTGCTGTATTGTTTCAAGAGATTTACACTTCCAGTGTTCACAGCTGTCACCACTGGCACATGGCTTATATCCCGGTGAAGTCTGTTGGCTCTTGACTAATGACTAAGGTGGTGCCCCCTGCTGGAAGCAGGCCAGACTCACTGCAGCACCTCATAAGACACTTCTTCTGTATACTGAGCGCTCCTTCTAAACTCTTCCCTGTCTCTGTGAACCAGGCCTGTCCCTAGTTGTTGGATTGGTGTTGTACATATCCAGCATCAACGATGAAATGTTAAACAGAACAAAGGACAACGAGGCCTATTTCAGCTACAAGTATGGCTGGTCCTTCGCATTCGCTGCCATATCCTTCCTGTTAACGGAGGTAAGTGCTCCTTCCTGTTTTGGGTCTGTGGATCGCAAAGAGCCGTTTCCACAGCTCTCGCCTGACCGAGCCTCCTTGTCTTTCAACTGTGCTGCAGTAAGGTTTGCCAGCCCACTGCCAGTGCCAACCACAGGACACAGTCTGACCTTTTAGCTGTTCTGTTAATGCCCTTTCCTTTTTACAAGACGACAAGGAAAAAAAAGGCGTTATTACAGTAAAGCCACAGTAACCAAAATCAATCCTGCCCTATGCAAAAAGAATCCATTTGGAAAGCCCTATCCCAACCGTTACCCTTGGGATTAGATTCACACTCGAGTCATCATCTGCACTCTGTCCAGCTCCGGGGACAGAGTGCCGTCTGACTAAATTTCTGCCATTCTGCCATGTGTACTGGGCATGCCCACTGCTGGAGATCGAGGGGTCACCTGGCTTTTATTGGGAATGAGAACATCTTAACAGACTAATTATTGCATACCTAGTACTATACTGAACCAAATACTGACTCGGTTGGTCTGGACAGCCACTGGTCCCAATCCAAACCGGTCTTTCATCTCTGTATAAAACCCTGCTCTCCAGGAGTGAGGGGCACCGTCGTTATGAAATATCGACCTCATCTGTGTATATAATACCTTGATGGGTCCCTTACAACTTGACTTCAGATGATTCCCCCCCTAAAAGTTACCAATGCCAGTGAAAGGGAAACACCCCATGTGGGACGGGAACCGCATGGAGGGGATTGAAGTGTCAGTGGGAGGCGCTGGCCGCCCTGCATGCTCCGCAGCTGATTTCCCGGCTCTGTGCCCTGTTGGCAGAGCGCCGGCGTGATGTCGGTGTACCTGTTCATGAAGAGGTACACGGCCGAGGAGATCTACCGGCCGCACCCCGGCTTCTACCGGCCGCGGCTCAGCAACTGCTCCGACTACTCCGGCCAGTTCCTGCACCCCGACGCCTGGGTGCGCGGGCGCAGCCCCTCCGACATCTCCAGCGAGGCGTCCCTGCAGATGAACTCCAACTACCCGGCCCTCCTCAAGTGCCCCGACTACGACCAGATGTCCTCCTCGCCCTGCTGAGCTGGGGGGGGAGGGAGGGGGGGTGGGCGGCGAGCAGGTAAGGGCAGGGGGAGCTTAGCAGCCGGCGATCGGCGCTGCCAACCACGCGTCCGATTACATGTGCCAGGAGAGGGGAGACGATGCCTTTTTCTGTACGTCTGTGTGTGCGCGTGTGTGTGTGTTTGATTTGTTCTGATCCCGTGATCGTGCGGCACGCGCCTGGCCTGCCAACGGGGGCGAGCCCAGCCCGGGGGGAGAGCAGGTCGCGTCCACAGTAAGAAGACCGCGCACGGCGACGCAGACGCTCCTCCGGGCCTTCTCGCGTTCATGCCGGCACGACAGAGATTCGAGTGTTTGTGTTAATCCAGCGAAAGATGCTTCGTGAAAGTGCCACGGTACCGTTTGTCAGCTGCTCAAACATCAGCGCTTAAACGTTTTCTGCAAAGGAGTGACGGCAAGAGCTTGAGTCACACTGCAGTCAAAAACCATTTCGCTTTCGATTCTCTGTTCCAACTTTAATTTGTAGGTGGGGAGAGTTTCTTTGGCATAAAAGTATTATTTTTGTAAATGAACACAGTATTACATTGCATTTACTAAATGTACATGTTTAAACATCCACCTTAGGCAAGGTGCTTATAAACGGCAAAATGTGCAAACAGCCAAGTTGGTCTAAACCAAGGGTAGACTGTATTTGTGTCAATACCTTCAAGCGTTTGTTATAGACCACATTGTATCATGATATTAATATAATGATGACTGGTAAATCTACAGCTCTTTATTTTAACACTTATCATAAATCGTTCTTTTAAGGATCCCCTTCTAACAGTAAAACACCATTCTGAAAGCACTTTGCTGTTTCAGTGCAGGCAGGTCTATGCCGACAGCAGAACGAGGCAGAAATACGGCACTGACAGACACCATTGTTGAGTTTCTACAAAAGTACTATGCGACTTGGTGCATTTTCGTTACCTACAGTATTAAAAATAAACAAAATCCAGCATACTTTAAAATGCAGATTTTACTAGCATAAGTTTAAATGTAATTATGTGTAATACTTTTGAAGGGATATAAATACAACACATAGTATATAAAAATTAGTATTTATACTTTGGATGTGCTGCAAACATGCTAATCGCATGTACAGACCCATTGAAATGTAAGTATTACAGAACACCAGAGGATATATGGACTCTGTGGCAGGTCAACATTTCTTTAACATGAATTCTTGCAATAGAACAACTACATAGTAATTTTATATTGATGCAATTACAACTCATGTGCTCCAACCTACAGTAGCATTCGCAGGCACTGACTTCGTTGTGCTTTAATGGGATTTTCAACAAAAAGGGAACGGTTCATAATTCTGCACAGTAGCTGAAGTTGGACCGATTTCAGTCTGATTTATCAGTCACAATGTAGTAAGATGTTTTTTGGCAATGATTTACTTAGGAAGCTGGAGGAATTAAATTTTTCTTACGTTCTTGTGTTTTTAGCAAAGCTGCAAGTTTGTTTTTACATTGTTTTAAAACATTTTTTGTATGGTTTAAGTTTGCCTCTGTTATTTAATGTATTTTTTTTCTGAAGTAGAGGACAGATAGCCCCAATATTCACACAAAGCCAAACACCAGCTCCTGCTTCCTCCACTGTTCTGACCTTAACCTTCACCCTTCACTGTATTAATACACTCTCTCTGTACAAGGAGAAGAGTTAGTGCTGGGCCTTCTGCAGGCAGAAGGGTGGCGGACTAACCTATAATTCACTTGTTTGGCTTCTCAGTCATACTCTGTTTTGACATGTGGGTGGAATTTCATACGGCTGCTGAACATGAACTCACATCCGCGAGAGATTTCCACCTCCTCCACGCTTTGAGGTCTGGAGCGCAGCAGGTTTTCTAGTTGTCCTTACGGTACACACTGCTCGCCATCGGGGAGAAAGGAGAAACGAAACCAGTTAAGGTGTATTACGTGGCCTTATGCCATTGATGTAGAAACCTGTTGGAATGTCGGCTCCAAGGTTCGGCATTTGAAAGCCCAGACCTATACCTGTCTATTGCTACAGGATCCCACAACATTTATCCAGACTTAATTGTGCATTTTCCTGTCCTCAAACGCTCCACAGAGATTTACACAAATGAGGCCCACAGGTCATCGTTACACTGCTCCTTTGAGGCAAGCAGTGCCCCTCAAGTCTACAGCTATGAGCTCTTAATGCAGTGCTGGTTTGAGACACAGGTACGTTTTTCTTCCATTTAAACTTCTTTTAATACTAATAATTTACAATTGTTTCTTTTCCGAATTCCACATCAACCCATTCCTATTCCTTTTTTCTCATTTCAAAACCTTCTCTGGGACTTATGTACGAAGATGTTTTTATGTCCCGTCAAACCATTTTTTTTCTGCAGTCTTAATATTGAATTCTAATACTCTGTCTATTTTTCTCATTTTAAAATGGGTTTGTTCAATGATGTGTATATAAAAAGATGTGTATATATATTAAGCATAGACTTTTATATAAGCTTACAGCAGTTGTAGATGGTTTTAATATTTTGTAAGCACACTTGGAGCAACGAATCTGTAACCTTATCAGTATGCTTGTAATAGCTGCTTTCCATTTTGCAGTGCATATTTTCAGAATGTGAGCTTTTGCACATGTTGTAATTAAATACAGTACTGTAGAAAGTATATAACGTTTGGGAAACAAATACTGTTGTTCTGGTTGTTCTTTTTACAAGCAGTCATTTTAGACTGTTATTGTACATTTCTGTTTCTAAGAAATAAAGTAACATTGTTGTGTTTATTAGTGCATTTTAGTAGTGGAATAATCATTATTTCATAGCTCAGAAGACAGAATTATGCAGACCTGTATGGCCTGTATTGAATCCAAGTATACATACTAGTGTCATGTATTAAATTAAATCACTACAGCTTGCTAGGATAAACACATGTTCAAGACACTAGGAGACGCTTCACTGATAACTATGCACAGCATAACAAACAGTATTTACCAAATATATTAAATGAACAGTATCACAGTGCCAGTACTGTAATTGAGTGCAGCTCTACACAGAGATGCAGGTGCAAAGAGGGTTTAAGTCAGTATTATCTCTCTGACACCCTGAGGAGGCTCTAAATCAAGGGAACTGAAGGCTATGAAGAATGTTTACAGTATGTTTTCTTTTTATCAGTTTTGAACATCACTTTCCCAGAACAGCTCGGAGATCTATTGTAGATTCTTACACTGTTTGACAAAATAAATATAATGTAGACATTTTTTTAAAAAAATCTGTCAGTTTACGAAACTAAAACGTTCTTTATCGTTACTTCAGAGTGGTATGGTATATTGTGTACATTTGCAATTAACCAAACAAATGCTACGTTCATGGGTAAATGTGATTATTTATGCAATTAATTATCACATAAACAGAATGTATCAAACTACCCAAACAACCCGAATAGATTCTCCGGTACTTCTGGAGGATCTGTGAAAGGTTTTTAAAATTACACCAAAATAAAATGAATTAATATACAACATGCATAAACCGCTATTAAACAAACCTTCAACAGTTTGACGCAAACCTCCACTAGAATTGTAGGCTTTTAAAAACGTATATAATGTAATTGCGTCTTTAACTCATAATTTGTGTCGATTGAATTGTCACTAAATAGGTAAGTAAGGAAAATGGGGCTGTTGTTTTCCACTCCATTAAAAGTCTCTTCACTTTCATCAGCACACATGACGACTCCTGCTTCACGGAGACCGACACCGGGAATAAACACCCATCCCCTTCTGAAGCTGGAGCTCCTGCTTCAGACCTATTTAAATGCTTTAGACAAACACTTTAATGCTACTCAGAGCTGTAGTTTTGTTGAGCTGAGGGCTTCAAAAGAATTATCTTTGACCTTTTCCCCTGATCAGACAGCTGTCTGGTCCATTTGTGTTCTGCGGCGAAGTGGGACAGACCATCAACGCGCCCCTTGGACTAAATCCCTTTGCATTTCTATGGGCAACAGCAAATTACTTTTTGATAAGGCGTCAAAATTTCACAATGACAAAATTGCAGGTGAAAAGTCAACACATGAAAGCACAAACATTTTCCAATCGGCTTGCCAAATGATATGGTTGATAGTTTTGAAACGCACGCAATTGTCATTCTGTCTTCCCTCAGCCAGCATGAAGCTGACACTGTTGGCAGTAAGTAATGAAGGATGCATTTGGCGATTGTCTCTCTAGAATGAGTTTTCTCTACTCCAGCCGGCAAAGGTCACTGGAAGACTTATCTCTTTCAGAATAAGGTAATTATCCCCTGTGAAGTGGAAACGCTTCTCAGCTATTTGAAGCGATAAACTTTGACCTTACCCACTCTGTGACTCCTTCCCCATACCAAAACAAAAGGAATAAAACAGAGAGAAAGGGACTTTTAATGTCATTTTTCAGAAGCAAGAAGAACCCCCCCCCCCCATCTCTTGTCATTTAAATGCAGAGACGAGACATTCGAAGAGAATTCCTGGCAAACTGCGGTGAAATGGAATTATGATTATTTAGACCTCATAACAGTGTTCTCGAGAAGATATTTCCAAAGACAGGAGCTGCATGAAGTTTCAGAACTGCAAGGCAAAAACGGTAATGTGCATGTTTTGTTATGATTGTAGAAGGTGCAGACGAGAGTCTTTGCAAAACGTTCAGGGTTCAGTCTGCTCGGCTATAGGGACGATCTCCTGGCCTTGTGAGTGAAGAAGTTGGACACCCTGCCTAAACGGAAAGGGTGCCGCACTGATGGTGCAGTTGGAGCTGGTGGGAGGGTATCAGAATGAACAAAGCCTGGAATGGGTCTCGAACAGGGGGACCCGGTAGGTTTATTACAAAGTGCTACTCAGATGTTCAAGTAGAAAGCTATGGCAGCATACATAGACTGCAAAGGGACAAGTGAAGGTTTACCTCATACTGAAGGGAAAAGAAACAACGTTTCGGCTGTGGCCTTCTTAAGGTGTGAGGGAGAGAAGGGAAAGTTGCAGACAAATGAAGCACAGGAGAACAAAGGACAGAGTGGTTAAGGAAAAGGGGGTGAGCAGGTGAGAATGAGTGTCCAGACGCAGGGAGAGCAGGAGGAGAGGTGTGAAAAGCCAGAATCGGGATTTAAAGCCTTTGTCGGACTACAGGAGAGTCGGAGAGCGTGTCAAATTTACCGACTGCAGTTGCTGAATCTCGCTGCCTTTTCTGTCCTAGAGGGCGTTAAATTCTACGACTGGGAACCGCAGGGGGTGACTAATCACATGACAATCCCTCAGGACTTTTCATCACGGTTCCAAATCTCGTGTTGCGTGGTGAAAGTACTGCGAGGTCGCCTCGTTTTGGAAGCCAATCAACGTGGAGCACCCCGGAATAAGAGGAGGAGCACCCCACGAAGGTAACCAAACGACAAACACGAAACATCGAATGTCTGTGCTGGCTCCAGAGTTCGACGAGCCGCTCCTCCACTTGCAGAGTCCCAAACACTCGCTCTCCGTCTTTCCTTGCAGCCACACTGTACTTCCGGTTGAGCGCTCATTCAACGGCTGTTGACTGCCGCAGACACAAAAGCCCACCCCTACAACTTGCAACTTGTGTTGTTTGTTTCTAGATTTTTCTGCACTCAGACTTTGGTTTCAGAAATACCCTACGGTCCACCATTTCCAACACCTTCACTTGCAGAACGTCCTGCAGCCTATACTCAACGTGCTAATTAATCATTTCAATCAATAGATCAATTGATTGAAATGATTAATAACTATTATTTGGGAGAGCTCAGCTAGATCCAAATGCAAGAGTCAAGGACCAGGAATGAGACCCAGTGGTGTGAAAGTTCATTTATTCTGTCTAGTTCTTCTCAAAGTTAAACACAAATAAGACCTGACACACATGATTCCCTGGAACCTTTATTGCCCAAGGTAACTCCCTGCAAAACAAAAACTAAGCTGCTGAGAAAGTCACATGGGGCCTATTACACTACACAAAGTAAGCAATTAAGCGTCTAATTTATTTTTATTTGTTACAGGGGCTTTCATCTGGAAAGCAGATGAATGTAACTTTTTACCATTAATTTTCTTGGTTTATGTTTTCATCCAAACTTACCGTACATCTGTGACCAGTGACATAGCTGGGAATTGCAGGGGAGCAATCTGAAGGAAGTGCCTTCCCAAGGAGTTCACTAACTGTGCCACACCAGGGACTCAAACCCACAACCTCCCAGTGATGTGTCCAGAGACCTGCATCTCACGAGGAGTTCATTTGCCTCTTCTATTTCAATAGAAGAATAGAATAAGGATGCAAGAGTAAAAAAAACAACAACTATGGGACTGGCAATGGAGGATGTTAAAACAAAAAGCAAGGCCAACTCGTTTTCAACATAGTCTCAAAAGGGCATGGTCTACCACTGTCTAAGGGTGAGAAGGACTTGTGGTAGTGTTAAGAGTGCTTCCAAATGATCACTTTACTATCCGTGTCACCACGACAGCCCAGATGATAAAGAGGGGGTCACCACTGTTTTGATGCCCTGGAGCTTCCCAGTGTCCTAGCATGCCTGGGCGGGCCCTGGACTACCACACTGCCGCCACGGCAACCGGATCCCAACATTCCGCCCTCAGAAGCATACGGTAGGGTAATAAAGCCTTACATCACTGCCATCCGCTCCAGATGAAGCTGGAATATACCAAGTCTATTGCCTAGCCAGCCATGAAACATGTGTTGCCATTCACTGCACTGCACCCCCCATATATTAAAATGAACACAGTCACACAGCTGCAATTGGGAGCAGCCAGTGAACAGTGAGCTCAAGCAGCTCCTGAAGACGCTGCATTTCAGCTCATTGTCACTTCGCTAGGAAATAATTACATCCTACAGTCGCTGCAATTTGTCCCCCTTTTATTTAAAACACTATGTAAAGATTTCCAAACAGTAAAACAATACAGCTGTGGAAAATTACATCTATTTCATAAAATAAAACCCCCTGTAATTATTTACTGTATAAACCTCTGGGGTGGAAAAAATGTACAACATCTGCTGTTAAATGTGAAGTGGAAAAAATGCTTCATTTATCTTATTCTGTCTATACGAAAGCCAAAAAAAAACAAGATAATTACAGATGTATGAATATATGAACAATGACGATTTTGAGGTGGAGAGCACTCTATACAGAATGCAAAGGAACAAGTAAAAGGTTTATTCCATGCTGGAAAGAGAAGAAAGGAAACAACATTTCGGCTAACCTTTACTGGTTCCTGTACAGCCTACGCATGCTGACGCAGCTCCCTACTTGAACTGCTCGACACAGGATGTTCTTTACAGTATGCAATAACAAAGCCCTTTTCTAAAGCAGCTGGATGAATACAATATAATTAAGGCGACCATGGTGCACTGCACCAAAATCGCAGGCACACATTGAGACAGGGTGGCATTTCAGACATCCTCTTAACCAGGAAGAAATTACCTGGCAAATCCTTGCACGTTTGCCCAGGCACTGACTGACAGAGTCTAACTGCAGTGCATGAAGAGCAAGGCACCTTGGACAGCTGTTCCACTTCTGCTGTGACTGATCGCAACGAACGAACGACAAATCCTTCACTCTGATCTCAATCACCTCATAGTCCAGTTGATGCTCGCGGTCACTCACCGCCTTGCCTGGCAGACCACGGGTACAAGACTGGACACACCCTGGACAGGACGCACATACCAAGCCCTGGTCACAAACCGGGATGCGAAAAGATCCGCTACATTTCACATGACCTTTTCAGTTGGCACTGGCAATATTTGGAGATGATCCATTTCCTGC